AAAAAAAAAAAAAAAAAAAAAAAAAAAAAATAAAGTAATAATAATGTGACAGTTGTTAACTGTCTACATGGAACTAAGTTTGCACACATACAGGCTACAAAGACAATGTCACAACTTAATTCTCTATCTGTTGGCTGGCAAGCATCTTCTCACATACAACAAACATCCTTTTTAAAAGCTGTAAGATATGGGGCCTCCCTGGTGGCACAAGGGGTTAAGTCTCACTATTGAGCTATAGCCACTACTGCAACATGAGTTCCATGTCCAGCCAGGGAGCTACCCACATGGCACATCAGACTTCTCCTGTCTCACCCACTGCTCCCCTCAGCAGTGTATTTCAGTAGATCTGCCTGTTCTGCTCCCCACTCTCTCTCTGGTGAATCCTCGCACTCTTCCCCAGGCCTCCCTTCCCCATCCCCCAGCCTACACCTCAGTTCTTTATGTATAATAAAGATAAATCTATAAATAAATAATAAAAGCTGTAAGATATGAATAAAAATTTTTTCCTCCACTAGAGAATTTTTTTTTAAAGTGGGTACATTTATTTATTTATTTTTAAATAATAAATTTTATTTTTATATTCCCCATAAAATTGCAAACCCCCCCATTCTGACCCCAATACCTCCCCTCTCTCGCCCCCCACCCTGGGTACATTTTTTTTTTAATTGAGGCATAACTTACATTTAAAACACGCAGGCCTAAAATTCATAATTTGATAAATTTTGACATGTTTTGTACTTTGCATATTTCCATGTAAGCCAAGATATAAAACATTTTATATATTTTTGGTAAGTTATGTCTAAAAAAATGTGTTCATTTTATCTTGTTCACTTTGTTGGCACAAAATCATTCATAATGTTCCTTAACTATCGTTTAAATATCTGTAGAATTATAGTCTCTCTTCTTTCCTTCCTAATATTGGCAATTTATATATTATTTCTCTCCTCCCTTCTTCCTATTTCTTGATCAGTCTAGCTAGAAATTATCAATTTTATTATTAAAATTTTATTTTAAGATTTATTATTAAAATTTTAATAGCATCAACATTTGGTTTCATTGATTTTCCTCATAGTTTTTTCATTTTCCATGGATTCCTGCCCCTATCTTTATAAGTTCCTTCATTTGGATTAGTTTGGGTTTAATTTGTATCTTACTCTCCTAACTAATTATGTTAGGAAGCTTAGATAATTTATTCAAACCTTTTTCTTGTTTTGTATAAGCTTCTAGAATCTTAAGTCTTCTTTTAGGCACTGCTATAGTTTTATCACACAGATTATAATATGTTGCATTTTTATTATCATCAGGTCAAAATATTTTCAAATTACTCCCTTAATTTCTTCTCTCATTCATGTATTATTTAGAAGTATGTTATTTAATTTCAAAACAGTTCAGATTTTCCAGATGTTTGTTACTGATTTTTAACTTAATTCCATGTGATCAGAGAACATGCCCTGTTTGATTTTAACCCTTTTAAATTTATTGAGACATGTTTTCCATCATAGCAAATAATCTTAGGGAATGTTCCTTACTCACCTACTAAGAGTATTCTACACTTGTTGGGTGTGTGTTCTATAAATATTAATGAAGATGAATAGATTTATAGTGCTTGATGGATAGTGTTCACTTTTCTCTCTTCTTGTTCTATCAATTCCTAAGAGAGAAGTACTGAAATTTCCAAGTTTACCGCGGACTTCTCTATCTCTTCTGTCAACTCTGACAGTTTCTGTTTCATATATTTGAAGCCCAGTCATCACCTACATATACATTCAGCATTTTTCATTTCTTCTTGATCTACTGACTTAATGTTTTAATCATTATGAAATATTTACCTCTTGATTTCTGGTAGCAGTCTTTGCTTAAAGTCTACTTTGTCTAATATTACTAAAGTCACTCCAACTTTCTTATAGTTAGCATACCTACAAGTTTTGATGCATATAATGAAGAAAAGAGTAGTTTAAATTCATTAGCAAAACATAATGGTGATTAAAAACTAATGCTCATTAATTTATATGAAATAATCTCTGATTAAGAATATATGTGTAGGGCCTCCCTGGTGGAGCAGCCGGTTAAGCACTGCGCTGTGAAGCTGTCCGCAGCCTCTGCAGCATGAGTTCTATCCCTGGCCAGCCAGGGAGAAACCCACATGGCATGTCAGACCTCTCCTACCTCGCCCGCTGCTCCCCTCAGCAGTGTTTTCAGTCCGTCTGCCTGTTTTGCTCCCTGCTCTCTCTGGTGAATTCTCTCACCCTCCCGCGCCTCTGATCTGTACCCCAGTTCTTGTATAAGTAAATAAATCTTTAAAAAAAAAAAGAATGTATGTGTACATATAACTGCTTCATGCACTGACCTCGTCAATAAAAGGTATTAATACCACAGCTTCCCATTCCTGTTGTTTCCCATTTAGGTCAGTTTTAAAATCAGGTGGATAGTATTCTATAATTGGTGAGTCTTCACTGGTCATCAAATGCTGTGAGAATATAAAATAGTACAATTGAAATATAAGAATATCAATACATATAGCTTTTTGTTAATATATTTACAATATTCTTCATGCTACAGCTTAAAATTTCTAAGCAAAACAAAACTATTTATATCTTCCATGTACTGTGATATTGCTTGCATATTCTGATTATCTACTATGAGACTTCTAATTTCTCTGCTATAATCATTTTCCCATTCCGCTGACGTGTAGCTGAAACATCTTTAGCCTGAATTTGATCACTTCTCCTTTTTACTGTCTTTTTGCTCCATGAGGTTTACTATATCTGTTTTCCCACACAAATTTCAATTAATTTAACAAGTTTTCAATATTCCTCCATTTTAAACTTTAAACAATTTATCTTCATGTTAATCAAATGATTCTATTATAGATTCTATTATATAAGAAGTGTTATATAAGATAATTTAAAAATAAAAAATCTTAGGGCCTCCCTGGTGGTGCAGTGGGTTGAGCGCAGCGCTGTGAAGCTGTCTGCAGCATCTGCAGCGCCGGTGCGATTCCTGGCCAGCCAGGGAGATTCCCACATGGAGCAGCAGATCTCTCCTGTCTCACCCGCTGCTCCCCTCAGCAGTATACTTCGGTCCTTCTGCTTATTCTGCTCCCTGCTCTGTGTCTGGTGAATTCTCTCACCCTCCCCTGCCTCTAGCCTGTACCCAGTGCTTGTATAAATAAATAAATATTTAAAAAAATAAAAAATCTTAAAAGCTAAGAATCTCTTCATCACTAATAGCAAAGAAAAAAATCCAATTAAGACATCATTTTACAAGAGATTTCATAACAGGGGCAGATAACTAAAGGATAAAAATGTCTTCTAGGAAACAAATATGGAAAATTATGATATAAAAACTTTCTAAAGAACTAAAAGAGCATATTTCTCAGGTGATACTCAAAGTATTTAATAATGAGTGTGGCATGGACACAACAATTAAAACAGATTTGGCTATAAAATGTGTGCATGGCTATACTGTCTCAAAGTGGGAGAGTATCAATTCTTAATGTATGTGAAGATAGGGGAAAAATATCAGAAAGATTTAAGAAAAAAGGGAGACCAAAGGTCAGGATGAAGGACAAGTTAAGCATAAGGAAGATGTGGAATGCAGTTTTAACATTGTTCAAGTACATGCATGTGTATGTGTGTGCATCTACTCTAATTTCTGCAACCAGACCATGGGATTATAACAGATTAATATTTTAGAAGAACTAAATGAAAGTAACCCTTAGAGTAAGCAGGTTTACTGCAGTTTTGGTGACCCAATCAATCCTGAAATAACTTCCTTCTGTTATTATATGAAACATGTAAAAGACAGAAAAGCCACAATTTGATAAATAAAATACTTAAAACTCAAGTATAAAAGTGAGGTAACACTTTTGTTAAGATGACTTATTAGAACCACCCTATTTTAACAGGTAGAGAATAAAAGAGAACAAGAATGAATCTATGAGCATTTGGACAAAGTAGTTGACTTTAGATTTTACCTGTTGCAGTTTACTTTCATCAATGCAGACAGAGGCAAATTTAAGATTTAATTAAAGGTACTAAAAATGGGGCATCCCTGATGGTACAAATGGTTAAGTTTCAGCACTGCAAAGCTATCAGCAGCCACTGCAATATGAGTTCAATCCCCGCCTGAGAGCTGACCAATATGGTACAGCATACCTCTCCTGCCTAGCCTGCTGCTCCCCTCAGCAGTATATTTTAGTCAGTTTGCCTCTTCTGCTCCCCACTCTGTCTCTGGTGAATCTTCTTACCACCCCTCTCCCCACATCTCAGCCCTTATATGCATAAATAAATAAAATTTAAAAATAAATAAATAAAGGTACTAAAAATGAAAAAGCTACGTGCTGAATGGTTTATGGACTGCTTACATTTAAAAAATGAAGCTAACTTTAAATCAAGCAATTACTTTTGAAGGGAGGGTCTTACTTAAAATACTTTATTTGAAATTAAAAATAAATATATTTGGCTAATATCACAAAGGACATAAAATTATTTAATTCTGAAACCCACCTGGTAGCATGTAGGAAGTAAATTTTTGCTGGCTGCTGGAAGGACAGCAAGAAGTTGTTCAAATGGCTTAAAAGGTTTCCCTAGTTCAAAATGGAGTTTGAGTGTACTGATATTGCGGATATCTGATAAAAATGGTGCATAATGGTAGGGATAAAACCTATAAAACAAAACTGAGTTTTAAATAGTTGTCAACTTAAGAAGCATGTCAATTTTAAGTACAAACTTTTTTTTCCATTTTAACAACACCTAAAGCAACAACTTTAAAGAAAAAAACTATCACCCATACTTTATTCTAACTCACTGGTGGTGGAAAATTGAGGTTATGTGATGACAACAAATATTATATTTCCTTAAAGTACAGTTTCACATTTTCAATATTGGGATTATCATAATTGAAGGATAAACATACATACACATATGAAATAAAATGGTTCTTTTAGCTCCCAAATGTGAAGTGTGAATCTTCCAATCAACAGATTGTTAGAATGAAGTAAAGGTCAGACCTTTCAGTTAAGTTGCTTGGGACTCAGTTTCTACCATGAGAACAGGGAAAACAGTGAGTCTGAGCTCATGTGACTGTTACCTAGTTCTAAGATTTATCTTAGAATTAGTACGTATTGTGTTTGTAATATGCATTAAGCCATTTATCAATTATACACACTATTTATTGTTTTTGTATAATATCGTCTCACCTTTAACCACAGTTATAAATAATTTTAAAAGGTTCAAAGATATAATTTTACAAGGTTTCAATGTTCTTAATGTTTGTCTAAGGACACCCCCCCAATGAAGAAACATTTTATATTCTATTATGACATATTTCAAGAAGATGGGTAAGTTTATGAGCCCAAATGGCATGTGGAATAATGGAAAATAGACCCTGGAATAAGGAAGGGTTGGACCATATTCTTGGGTGTCTGACCTTGAAAAAATTAACCTCACTTAGTTTCAGTTTCTATATCTGCAAAAGGCATAAAATAATATTTAAATGGATGTGAGGATTATATGAAAAAATGCTTTTCAAATGCCTGGCCTTCATGTCTGGTAATACAAGAGGAATAATGCCCTCTTAAAAATGGGAAATCAAGGGTTTTCTTCATTAGAATGTACTTCAGAGAGGTCTGAGAATCACATTAGCTATTGTAAAGATATTTTTTCAGGCTATTATTAAATGAAATCATAAGTAATGCCACATTAGTTTGAAATGTTTTGCTGTATGGTACTTTAAAACAAAACCTAGCAGAAGTGTGCTGAAAACAAAACAAATGATGACATCACATGAAAGTCTACTTTCCCATCATTTTTCTGGTTATTTTTCTATTTCAATGGAATTTGCTGGAATAGAAAACATGAGAGAAATGAAGAATTATTACTATTTCTAGGAAAAGATTCCTTTTTCCTCTTCTAACATTCAAATAACTAATTTTTTAATAATCATTCCTGATAGTTTTTCTCAAATATATATAAATGTAGAGAAGAATAAACAACCCTATATAACCATCAGTTGGACCCAATAATTATGAGGACTTTGTTACAGTTGATTCATCACAACATAGAATTTTAAAACCTTAGGTGAACAAAGAGTTTCCTGGTTAGGGCTGGATGTATCTTTTGTTAGATTAAGATAATATTCAAGTATCCTCATATAAGAACATATTACCTAAATGTCAGTTAAACAAGTGTATCTTTTAAAGAAATACTATCACAAATAGAAATTAGAGGAAAAGAGATTCCCATATAAGATTCTAATAGAATGAATCTCTATAAAAAGACAAATCTTTCTCATTCTCTCACCAGCTCCAGGACTGAACTCCATGATAATAGTAGTGCAAAATCCACTGTATTGCCTGAACATAACATGCAGCTTGGTCAGCCAAAAAGTCACTGAAAATAGAAAAGAATTATTTTCATTATAACATCTTTTGAAGAGTGGCCACTGTCTTTAGAATATGTTATCTTCTGATAACACTTTGTGCCTCACATATGCTTATTTAATCAATTAGCTAAAATTGCAAACAGAACCTCAAATACTATTTTTTAAAAATTCCATCCTATCATATTAAGGGTTGCCTTATAGTTTTCCTAAATTAACTGTCAATAGTTAAACCTGCTGAATATATTCAATCAGTGTATTTTAATTTAAAGTTTGAGGATTTAGCCACTGAAGCTTTCCATAAAGAGGCATTCCCTTAAATAGTGGGGGATAGTAATCTTTATCTGGAACAATACTTAAGAGAATCACAACAGAAAACTGAAAGATATTAAAATCTGGTTATAGTTACTGGAACACTGAAAAGTGCTCATCTACTGAACAATACTTCCTCCAATTCTTTTTTTCTGAAAAAGCCATTATTTATTTATTTATTTATTTTTAAAAGATTCATTTATTTATGCATACAAGAGCTGGGTACAGGCCAGAGATGCAGGGGGTGAGAGCATTCACCAGAGACAGAGTGGGGAACAGAACAGTCTGCTGCACCATGTGGGTTGCTCCCTGGCTGGCTGGGGATCGAAATTGTGCTGCAGAGGCTGCGGATTGATTCATAGTGCGTTGCTTAACTCCTTGTGCCACCAGGGAGGTCCGAAAAGCCATCATTTAAAATAAAATATTTTTCATTGTTTCTCCCTCTTCTCCGCCCCCCCCCCCAAAAAAAAGGAGTCCTAGGATAAAGCCAAAACTGGTTATAAATCTGTTAGTGCTGTTAGTAAAATTCAGGTAGAGTGGTACTTAATAAATTTCAGATATCCATATTTCTGGGAGTTATGTTTTTAAAAATGAAATGTATTACTTTTACAACATCAAAGAAGTATGTCCTCATTATTGAAAATCTAGATAATGAAGAGAGGCACTTTTTAATTACCTTATAACAATCACTTATTATATTTGGCATTTTAAAAAAAGATTTATTTATTTATGCATATAAGAACTGGGGTAAAAGCCAGAGGTGTGGGGGGATGAGAGGATTCACCAAAGGGTGGGGAGCAGAACAGGCAGACTGATTGAAACATACTGCTGAGGGGGGCAGCGGGCAAGACAGGAGAGGTCTACTGTGCCAATGTGGGTTGCTCCTCGCTGCAGTGGCTGGCCATAGCATGATAACACTGTCATTAACCCCTGCACCAACAGGGAGGCACTAGCATGTTTCTTTTCAGTCTTTTTTCTATACTCATTTTTTAAAAGTATTAATGAGTATCCTATGATTTTGGGTCCTGTTTAAAAAATTAACACTGAGTAATAAATATAAGTATCTTTCTAAATTGTTATGAATATCCTATATACACCAGTTTAGCTATTCTGCAGATTATGGAGATAGTGAAAATGGCAGAGATAGTGACTATGGTGAGGAAGAGGTAGAAACGATTATAATGAATCTTCTTATTAAATATGTATATTAGTTCTAATTTTTTTAGTATTGTAAAAAGCTTTGTAATAATCATTCTTGCATAAGAATCTTATGTGTTTGAGTTTATATTTCAAGATAGATTCAAAATTAGGTTATTGGATCAAAGAGATTTTTTTTTAGTTTTCTTCATTATGTTTATTTTAATTTTAATTAATTAAAAAAATTTTTCACATCATTGTTCATTTTCATACAATATTTGCAAGGTGTAGTTCCCCCAATTTTCCCAACACCACAGCATCCATGAACCATCACCATAATCTCTTGTGCTCTTTCCTCTCCTGTTTTGATCCCTCTCCCTTCCCTTTCCCTACTGAATACCTCAAATCTATGGTTTGCCTGCAAGTTTTGTCTTTTTCCTGACCCTTTGGATCAAAGGGATATTTTAAAGGCTTAAATATGTGCTTAGATATGTGCTTTCCAAAATAATTTCACCAATTTATATCTCTACCAGTAATAAAGTGAAGAATTCTACCACCATAGCTGGTCCAACAGTGAATATAACAATTTAAAAATATTTATTTGTTAAGCAAGCCAAGGATATCTCATTTTTATGACTACATTTGAATATATAAAAGGGAAGGGAAATGAAACAGAAGACTGCTTATCAGATTAAGCATTTAGTGCCAAATGCAGGTACCAAAATACCATGCAATTGAAACCAAGTAAACAGAACTAAGAAAGAAATATAAGGCATAACTACTTAAAATATTTTATTTCTGAAACCTTCATGTTAATGGCATCTGACATAATATTAAATGAGCAGTTGAATTGTATTAGAATTCCTATACCTCTAGTTACTAGAAGTCAATATAAATATAGAACCTTTAGAAAGATAGACTATATCTAGATTAGAAGACAGTCTGAAAGTATATAGAACAATGTCTGAAAGTTTGGGTCTACCCCTGGGTAGACGCTAGAAAAGCTCTAATACATAGAACTTTATTATATCTTAAAAAAAGTAAAAATGAGAGTACAGAAAATATGTAAGTATAATGGGCATGTTAAAGGAAAATAGTATTTTACAAAACTCATAGAGAAGCAGTATTATCTAGTGGTTAGGAGCACAAGCTCTGGAGACAGACAAACTGTGTTCAAGTCCTAGTTCTGCCAAAATATTGAGCAAATCATTTAGACAACATTATTCCTTAATTTTCCTGTACTGTAAAATAATAATTATTCATTTTATCTTAAAAAATTGCTGTGCCATGGATGGGACTGGAGAGGATTATGCTAAGTGAAATATACGGAAAAGAGAAAGATAACAATGGGATGCTGAAATATACAGAAACAAAAGAAAGGTCAGAGAAAACTAAATCAAAAACAAACTCTACAAATCTGACTGTAAATTTGAGACTACCAAAGGGGAAGGGAGGAGGGGGTAGAAGGGACTATGGTGGAGGAATTTTAGTGCCTTGGAAGTGGGCATGATGTGATAACATACACATGAAGGGAGTGATCCTATACCTCTAATCACATACAGTGTTGTAAATGAAAGATACTTCAATAAACAAAAATTGTTAGAATTATATGTATCAATATATCAAATATGCTTAAAACTGTACCTGGCATTTGGTAAGCACTATATAAGTATCTGTAAACTAAAATAAATAAAATATAAACATACACAATTCATACCATGGATTGTAAAAGCTACCATTCTGGAGTTAAATTCTTTTTTTTTTTTTTTAAGATTTATTTATTTATTTATACAAGCACTGGGTACAGCCAGAAGCGCGGGAGGGTGAGAGAACTCACCAGAGCCAGAGCTGGTAGCAGAGCAGGCAGGACCAAAGTACACTGCTGAGGGGTGCAGCGGGCAGCAGGAGAAGTCTGCGCGCCATGTGGGACCCTCCTCCGGTGGCCGGGGAGCAGCCGGGGATTGAACTGGCGCTGCAGAGGCTGCGGGCAGCTTTGCAACCCAGCACTCAACCGCTGCGCCACCGGGGAGGTCTTCTGGATTTAAATTCTTAATGAACTTTGGGTCTTTATTATTATTATTATTATTATTTTGCATAGAAGGTCTACAGAGGTGTGGAGGGTGAGAGGATTCACCATAGCAGAGTGGGGAGCAGAACAGATGGATTTACTGAAATACACTGCTGGGAGGAGCAGTGGACGAGACCAGGGCATCTGACATAACATTGATATCAGTGATAGCGCTGAGACTTAACCCCTAAGCCACCAGGGAGGCCCCTTAAGGAACTTTTGAATTAGGTATTAATGTGGGAATAAGTTAGGTGGCCTTTGAGATGTGTTTGATTTAAGTTTTATGAGATAGGAAGCAAAAAACCCATCATTTTTATTTCGCAATTTTATCACAGTATTATAATACCTTCTCTGAAGCCATATTAATGGAAAGGTCTACAAAAATTTATGAAACCAAAAACCCCTCTCTTCTACTACCACAACCATCAAAGTTACACAGTTTTGGAAAAATCTAACTTTGGGAAGAGGTAAGATATCAGCAGTCAAGATTCCCTGAGTTGCACTTAGAATGATAATTAAAGTTTTCAACATGACACTGTACTCAGAGGAGAAACTAGAGCATTTTTGGATACTGGAGATCAAAATTGACTACAACAGAAGAGACATTGAGGAAATTCAACTCTATACAACAAAAGACAGAAGGAGAGACGCACAGAGAGACTATGTCAAGGGCAGGAACCCGTGGTGCAAATATGGAAGCTATGCTCCCATGTTTGGCTGACAGACAAGGGATGGGGGGAGCTGATTAGTATGGAGGCACACCTTTAACTAAGGGGAGACACATTAGTAGGTGCTGGAATGAGCAAGGTGGGCAGGGTCCCTAGTGAAAAAGACAGAGCACAGAATGGAAAGAAACAGAAATTATTCAAAGAAATGATAGAGGAAAAACATGCCAAACTTAGAGAAGGAGCTAAATATACAAATCCATGAAGCTAAAAGTAAATCTGGGGCCTCCCTGGTGGCACAGCGGTTGAGTGCTGGGCTGCAAAACTGCCCGCAGCTTCTGCAGTACCAGTTCGATCCCTGGCCACCAGCAAGGATCCCACATGGCGCGCAGACCTCTCCTGTCGCGCCCGCTGCTCCCCTCAGCAGTGTACTTCATCAATCTGCCTGTTCTGTTCCCTATTCTGGCTCCAGTGAATTCTCTCACCACCCACACTTCTGACTGCACCCAGTGCTTGTATACATAAATAAATGAATCTTGAAAAAAAAAAAGTAAATCTGGTTACCAATATGTAATGAGACCTACACCAAGATGCATAGTCATGAAACAAAGAAAAACCTTTAGACAAAGAAATAAACATTAAAGCTGACTAGGGGGAAGAAGCACAAAAGCTATAAATGTATCACCATCAGGTTTATATCTGACATCTTTGAGGAAACACTAAGGGCAAGGAGAGGATGGAATATGTTTAAAATAATGATAAAAAGTGTCATTCAAGAATGATATAACCTACAACTCTCCTTTACTCTCAAATAATCTTATCTTCCACCATAAGGAGCTAGAAAAGGATGAACAAATTAAAGCAAAGTCAGTGGAAAAGAGAAATTAAAAAAATTAGAGCATAAATAAATGAAATGGAAGTCAACCAGACAGTTGAAAAGATCAGTGAAACCAAAATCTGGCTCCTCAACAAATGAAAAATACAAATCTCTAGCTAGATTCACAAAGAAAAAAAGGGGAAAAAGTTAAAATAAATATTAGAAATGAAAGAGAAGAAGTTGCAACAGACATCTCAGAAATTCAGGGGATTTTAAGCGGTTACTGTGAACATCTGTTTGCTAGTAAGCAGAATAACCTGAAAGATATGGACAAATTCTTAGAGATATACAATTCTCTGAGACTAAATTAAGAAGAAATAGAAAACCTAAACAGACCAATTACTAGCAGTAAGTTGAAAGAATTATCAAGAGTCACAAAAAACAAATGCCCAGGACCAGATGGTTTTACTAGTGAGTTCTACCAAACCTTCAAAGGCAAACTACCTACACTTCTCAAACTCTTCCAAAAAACTGAGGAAGAGGGAACATTTCCAAGCACATTTTATGAGGCCATCATTACCCTGATACCAAAAGCAGACAGATCACACACACACACACACACACACACACACACACACACACACACACACACAAACATATAAAACCTACAGACCAATTTTCCTGAACAACAAATGCTAAAATCCTCAACAAAATCTTAGCAAACTATATTCAATAATGCATTAAAAGGATCACACACCATGATCAAATGGGATTTTTTTCAGTGACAGAAGGATGGTTCAAAACCTAAAAATCGGGCCTCCCCGGTGGCGCAGCGGTTGAGCGCTGGGTTGCGAAGCTGCCCGCAGCCTCTGCAGCGCCGGTTCGATCCCCGGCTGCTCCCTGGCCACCGGAGGAGGGTCCCACATGGCACGCAGACCTCTCCTGCCGCCCGCTGCTCCCCTCAGCAGTGTACTTCGGTCCTTCTGCCTGTTCTGCTCCCCGCTCTGGCTCTGGTGAATTCTCTCACCCTCCCGCGCTTCTGACTGTACCCAGTGCTTGTATAAATAAATAAATAAATAAATAAATCTTTAAAAAAAAAAAAAAAAAAACAAAACCTAAAAATCAATCAATGTAATGTACCACATCAAGATATAGAAAGATAAAAATCATATGATCATAAATAGATGCTGAGAAAGTATTTGATAAGATCCAACATCCATTTATGAAAAAAACCCTCAAACGTATTTCAACATAATAAATACCACATAGGAAAAGCTCACATCTGTTACCATTTTCAGTGGTGAAAACTGAAAGCTTTTCCTCTATGATCTGTTACATAACTAGGATATTCACTTTTACCACTACTATTCAACATAGTATTGGAAATCTCAGGGAGAGCAATTATTCAAGAGAAGGATATAAAAATAATGCAAACTAGGGAAGAAGTAGTACAACTATCATCATTTTCAGATGACATGATAATATATGCAGTATACTTTAAAGACTCCACTAAAAATCTCACTGCAACAATCAATTCAGCAAAGTGGTAGATTACAAAATCAATATTAACAAAAATCAGTTGCATTTGTATATGCAAGTAATATGCTAGAAGAGTAAGGAAATCAAGAAAACACTCCCTTTTATAATTGCATCAAAAAGAATAAAATATCTAGGAGTAAGCTTAACAAAGGAGACAAAGAACGTATACAATGAAAACAGTAAGACATTGTTAAAAGAAACAAAAGACACAAAAATGAAAAGTTATTTCCTGCTCAAGTGTTGGAAGAATTAATATTGGTAAAATAGCCAATACAATATACAGATTTGATGCCTTATTGAAGTTTCAATGGCATTCTTCAAAGAAATAGAGCAAATATTACTGAAATTCATATGGAATCATAAAAGATCATCATACATCTGACAAGGAGCTGTTATTTAAGATCTACAAAGAACTCATACAACTTAACAGAATACTTAACAAATAATCAAAAAGTAGGCAGAAGAGCTAAATAGGCACTTCTCCAAAGAAGACAAACAGATGGCAACAGGCACATGAAAAAATGCTCATGATCACTTATCGCCAGGGAACTGCAAATCAAAACTACAATGAGATATCACCTCATGAGAATGGTCCATTTCACTAATACCAGAAACTAGCAAGTGTTGGCGAGGACATGGAGAAAAAGGAACCCTCGTATGCTATTGGCAGGAAGCACACAGTTCCAGCCCCTGTAGAAACATTATAGAGGCTTCTGAAAATATTAAAAATAAATCAACCATTTGATCTAGCAATTCCATTCCTATGTATCTAACCAAATAACACAAAAACACTAATTTGAAGGGATATATGCAATCCTATGCTCATTGCAGCATTATTTACAATGGCCAAGCTATGGAAAGAACCCCAGTGCCCAAAGACAGGGGAGTGGAATAGGACCATGTGGTATATCAATATAATGGAATACTACTTTACTAAAAGAAAGATGGACCCTTGCCTTTTGTGATTACATGGATTGAACTAGAGGGGATTATGCTAAGTGAAGTAAATCAGTAGTTATCACTTATATGTGGAATACAGAGATACAAAACAAAGGGTCAGATAGAATCCATCCAATAGGAAACCTGCGAAATCTGTAGAACTGAGGCCATTAGGGGGGATGGGTACAAATAGACTAAGGTGGAGTACTTTTGGTGCTTTGGTGGTGGGTGTGGTGTGGTAACCCAAAGGGTGTGATCCTATGCTTCCAAATCATATACTAATGTTGTAAACCTAAATTACTTCAATAAAAACAAAATGAAGCTGGGAAAAAAAATGTAATTTTTCTATTTTAAAGTAAAAACACTGGCAAAAACATACTCAGACACTACATCAACGCCCATCTTTGTCATGTAGTATGTTCTTTTATATTGTCTAAACTCTGTTTCAAACAGGTCATCATCTTCAGTCTCATCTTCTAAATTATCTGGAAAAAATAAGCCAAAAAGACAGTGGCTGAGAGTTACATAAATTGTTGTTCCATCTACTGCTTTGAGAAATACACATTGAAGCAGATGTTATCAAGTATAATAGAAGTCTATTACATTTAATATTATCAAATTAATAGTAATAAAGGGAAGATAGAACAACTATTCTTATCAAAGAAAGGGCATATTATACATAGTTTGTACCAACCCTTAGAAGTTACCACTTCTTCTCCACTTTTGTCTAAAGCAGCCCAACACAAGTTTTCCTGGCCCTAGAAAAATCATAATTTTAAAATTATAAAATTAATGGCAAGATATAGCTCAAAGTGAAACATTTAACATGGAGTTTTCAAAAAATACTAAAAGTCACTGAATAATGTAAGTTAAATTGTAAAAATTTATTTTAAAAATAATGCTGTAATACTGTTAAAATATTTTTGGTTTTATATCACTTGTTTTCTAAAGGTATAACTCTTTATTATGTAGAATTTAACATTTGGGTCTTCCAACGATGTGTAATAGGTAATTCCCACCAATATAAAAGAAAAAAAATATAATAGATTATAATATATGGGTTCCAAAAAAAAGAAACCACTTCAAGAATATTTCATTTTTTATGAAAAAGTACACATTTAATACCAAATTCCTTTATATTTGATCAATTTTAACATTTCTATATGTCAAACTCTGGACTACTGAATGTAATGATTACAAATATTACCTATTTTCTTTATCTCTGGATTCTACCATTCTCATGATTCCAATACTTACCCTGCACTTCTAAACTTTTCTTTAATACAATCCATCTGCTTTTCCATACAGTTTCCACCTCATAACATCCTTCATACCCTGCCTATGTTTCTCCTCCCTTGTGATTTCATTCCTTAGTGCTTTTATTTTCTAATTACCTACTTAATGCCAGTGACTCTCGTTAGTTCTTCATCTCTTACCCTTTTTCCTTTTGGTCATTCAAACTAGGCTCTCTGCCAACTTCCTTAGCCTTGGCTATTACAACAGTTCCCCCTTACTTTCCCCGTATCTCCAATGTTAAACATATACTAGAAAATTTGTGACGCAAATGGACTTAGTTGAGGTGGTTGGAGCCAAGGCTTATAGACATGTAAGTTCCCAAAAAGTTGCAGAGCCTTTCTTGAGAAAATACAGAGTAGAGTGCAGACTGATTGCTGTTAAGTTCCACTGAGAAAAGCTAAGCAATTAGGATTGATTACATTTCAGAAAGTCAGGATAGTTACCTTTATTGGAGCAAGAGTTACTTGGTTTGAACCTAAATACAACCATTACAATAAGGAGAGTGCAGAAAACTCAGCTTCACCAGAATCCAATAATAATGGAGAGGCTGAGGAAAATTTCAGAAGAGGTTTATATTCCAAGGTAACACAAACAAGATATTTTTAAGAGTTTATTAGAGTTGTTTTACAGGGTACTAACATATTCTAACTGATTCTAACATTTATTGAATATCTAACATTTACTAGATATTGTACTATTAATTACTCTTAACTTAGCCTACTGCTATATTTAATATATGATTTTAAATGGAAACTAATCTAGAGAAAAGCAAATGTCTCATAGCATTAAATGCTATAAATATCCATATTTAAAAATATAACAATTTTCTGTGCTCTTTTATTTAGACATGCTTTCTAGATTTGCTAATAGATTGCAAAAACAAAGTACACACAATGTTCTTCAAGAAGAAAAAAAGAAATTTATTTTTAAAGGTAAGATTTTTTTTTAATATTCAAAAAGACAGGTTTATTATAAAAAGGGAAGTCAAGGATTCCTGCACAGTCACAAGTGGGGAGAAAGAGCTGCCCCTCAAAGGGGTAGATTTGTTAACAGAGAGGCCTGAGTGACTAGTCACAGGTGGGCAGTCTAGGGGGAAGAACTGACTATGCTGCTTTGCAAAGGGAGGAAGCTGGTGAAGAGAGACACCTACACAGTCACAGGCTGGCAGGACAGTTGCCTAACAATAAGATTTAAAGGACTGGACTCAATAAAGAAAGAGACCCAAATCATATTTTAAATGTCTACAGACATAAAAATGAAGCAAGGCAACCCTAAAATCATATGAAAGAAAACGAAAGGCAAGAAATATCAGTTTTATCTTCACAGCAAAGGAAATAAAAAACACCAAAAAAATCAAACACCTTTGATTTTTTCTTTTCTTTGTAGCTCTTGGCCTCTTCTGCTGCAATACCTGCTGCTTCATTGAGGTACTTGTTACCAACTTTGCTTTCAAACCACTTTAGGTCCACAAAAACTTCACTGAAATGCTCCCGATCAAACTGTACAGAAACATTTAAATTCATTTAAGAATAATTTAAGTATGCATGGAAGAATTCCTACCAAAAAATTTAATAGTGCCTATTTCTGGGGCACAAGAAATCAGAGAATGTTATTTTTCCATGCACATGGGGACCTCATCTATTACTCTGAAAATTAAAATAATTTAGGTGAAATTATTTATGCAGAATGATTTTACAAAATTAGAGTAAAATTACAAAACCTCTCTCTTCTGTGATCATGCAATTGGTTACTGATTATTTACAGTTACTCCATGACAAAACTTCTATTACTGGGCCTGCCTGGTGGCACAAGGGGTTAAGACACAACCTATGCAACCTATGAAACTATTCGCAGCTACCGCAGCACGAGTTCGATCCCCAGCCAGGGAGGTGACCCACATGGCACAGCAGACCTCTCCTGACTTGCCCACTGCTCCCCTCAGCACTGTATTTCAGTCAATCTGCCTGTTCTGTTCTCCACTCTGTCTCTGGTGAATCCTCTCACCCCCACACCCCAGTTCTTATATGCATCAATAAATAAATCTTTTTTTAAAAAAAACTTCTATTACTTACATCTGATAGTTTCACAAGGTATTTCTCAAATCGAGGTAAGTTTAGATGGCCACTTTCATTAATATAACCTAAAAGGAACAAAACCTAAATTTATACTAGCAGTTAACAATATTTTTTTATAATTTATTTTTATATTTCCCATACAATTGCACCCCCCTTATTTTGACCCCAATCCCTCCTTTTCCCGCCTCCACTCCCCCATAGTGTGTCTCTGGGTCATAGTTGTTTGTTGATTTTGATTTTTTCTTTCTTATAGTTATTCTTTTTCCTGGTCCCTTATTTAGGTTTTCTAGATTCCTGCTATGAGTGAGACCATCTGGTATTTTTCTTTTTCTTTTTCTTTCTGGCTTATCTCGCTGAGCATGATCCTTTCCAGCTCCATCCATGTTGCTGCAAATTGCATGAGTTTATCTTTTTTGATTGCTGAGTAATATTCCAAACAATATTTTTTTAAAAACAATTCTACAAAATTCTTTTTATAATTTGACCACTCAAGAAAAAATACTCAGTATTAGGCTATATAACTGGCCTGAGTTTCTATACTTAATTTTACTATAATATACAATATTTAAGAACTAATATATAATATGTAAGAACTAAAGCAGAATATAATAGCTTCCAGGTACATATAATAATAATCCTCCCACATTTCCAACAATATTTGATAATTAAATGAGACTTGTTCAAGAGCTTATCTTAAGAATTCAATCTGATATGTTAACTTAAAGAAAAGATGTAATGATCTGCTACTCTTCTGTTATTTGCTCTGCATTGCCAATGTTTGTCAATTTACCATTTCAATTGAAAAGTCTTTTCTTCATGTTAAATATTCTGATGCTTACCCATTCAGAAAATTGAATTTTTATGCTTAACATGAAAGAAGCTAAGTGAAACCAACAATTTCTGTTGGCTTTCTTAATCAAGTGCAGATTATTTTAGTTACCAATAAATGAGACTGCTTAACTCTGGTTATTCTCTTTGCTTGCAAAAGAAAATTTCTTTCTGAAAATTTCTACAGAGTATGGCACCTTAGATAAAAAAATAAAACCACCCTATTTTTTCCTACTTTATTTGAGCATGCATAATCTAATAAACCACATGACATTTTTAGGGTTAGTTGAGGACTAAGTTCAAGTATCCTCAAATGGATATAAAACTTTTCTTACCCCCAAGTTCTGGCAGGATGGTAATATATGTTCCATACAGAAGAGGCAGTGCATCATGATTAATATGCAAATGAGGTAGATGAGGGATAAAATCATTGCCCACAAGAAATCCCATCAAAATCCAATCATCTATTATCCTTTCAATATCATATTTAAATGTGATCTTGTCCTATAGCAAAATGGAGAATAAAGTCAAATCCTATATAAATTTCTTCATACTCATTTTTGATCCATAGCTATAATAATACTCACTTTTAATACTGAAAACTCATAGTCAATATACTCTCTCATTAAAGACAAGTGTAGGAGGTGAAATGTGGTTTCTTCTGGTGCACATACTCTGCAATTTGTCAGAAGATCAATACAGAATTAATTATATATTTTTTAAGACCCAAGTTTTAAAAATTAACAAAACTTAAAACCAAACATATAATTTGAAGATAATTCTTGTAATCAATGCATGTAATTTATATAAAACTTGCATGGTATTGCAAAGATAGAAATATAATTGCAATTATAATAGATACAATAAAGTTCAAACAAAGTTTTAGATTATACTTTCTTTACAAAGACTTTCAGAATAAAGAAAGCCTAAATAACACACAATACATGTAAGAAGCTAGTGGGATCTGGCCCATTTAAGGCTGGCCATCAGCAGAAAACATATGGATAAATGAATATATACAGTAATGTCTTAATTGTCTACAGGTTCTCGGAAACTGTGAGTTTAAGAGAAATGACACATTAAGTAACCAATTTTATTATAGGTTAAATGATATAAACAAGAATAAAGTTCCTACAGCATATTTTGCAAAAAACATGACCAAACTTCTAAATAAAGACCCAAAACACTTCTAATATTAAACAGTAATTTTTTCATTTATTCAGTTCCAACCCACTTATTCCAGTTTAGGGTCTTAAGTAGTTGGAGCCTATTCTGCCAGCTCAAGGTATATGATGGGACACAATTGCATTGTAGGATTCACTCACTCATTCACACTCACTCAGTCACTCACTCATATTGGGACAATTAATCTAATGCACACCAATGAACCTAATGTGCAAGTCTTTGTGATATGGGATAAAACCAGAGTAAAGGAAGACTATCCATGCTAAATAGGGAGAACACACAAACTCCACAAGTTCAGAGGCTCCTGCCAGGAATCTTTTTTTTCCTCATCAATTAATTAAAACACCTTTGAATGAAAAGACATTATTCAAGGAAATGCTACACTTTCATATCTACAGTCAAATGCTTCAATGGTGAGGCACTAACACTTCTTCCCCTTATCTTTCCTGGCTTGGAATAGTGGTCTATATTCCTGGTGTTGGCCTATACTTCAAATTTAACCTAAGTAAAAATACAAGCTGATAAGCTTGTAAAAGGATTATACACCATGAACCAATGGGATTTATACCAGAAATGCAAGGGTGGTTCACTTTAGAAAATCAGTCATTAAGATACAACACATTACTAGAAGAAAGGAAAAAACACACAATCATTCAGCAGAATAAACATTTGTCAAATTCAATATCCTTCCATGGAAAAATGCTTAGCAAACTTAGGAACAGAAGGAAACACCCTTAATATGATAAATGGAATTTATGAAAAACTATAACTAACATCATACTTCGTGGTAAAAGCTGAAAGTTTCCTCCTAACATCAGGAACAAGACAAGGATGCTCACCTTCACCACAGCTATTTAACATTGTACTAGAATCTAGTCAGGGCAATTAGGTAAGAAATAGACATAGAAAGGCATCCAAACTGGAAAAGATGAAGTAAGACTATCTCTATTTATAGCTGTCTTGATTCTATATATAGAAAATCCTGTTTTATCAGAGCTAAAATACAAATTTGTTATAGTTACAGGGTATAAGATTAATATACAACAATATCTAAAGGAATTAAGAAACAATCCATTTATAATACCATCCAAAAGAACAAAACACTTAAGAGTAAGTTGACCAAGGAGGAAAAGACAAAACAAAACCAGAAACAAAAAACTAAACTTACAAGTATAGAGAACAGATTAATGGTTGGGGGAGGGGGTCACAAAGGGTTAAAGTTTGTCAAAACCTACAAACTGCCAATTATAAGATAAATAAGTTCTGGAATGTACTATACAGCATGGTGGCCATACTTTTAAAAATTTGCTTTGAAATAAAAGATAAAAAATACAAAACAGAAACACAATGACTTATATACTGAAACCACAAAATATTGCTGAAAGAAATTAAAGTTATAAAAAATGTAAAGACATTTCATATTAATGAACTGGGGTATTATTATGGGATGTAATAGTATTTAATATTAAGATGTAAACTACACAAAGGGATCTACAGATTTGATGCCACCCCTACTAGAGTTTTAGTGATATTTTTTATAAAACCAGAAAAATCAGTATTAAAAATCATTAATCTCAGGTGACTCCAAATAGCCAAAATAATACTGGGGGAAAAAAAAAAAGAACAAAGTTGGAGGTAAGATCCTTCTAATTTCAAGATTTACTACAAAACTACAGTAACCAAAATACTGTGATACCAGCATAAAGACAGAAATACAGTCCAGCAGGATAACATACAGAGCCCAAAAATAATATACACATGGTCAAGTAATTTTTTTTTTTTTTAAAGATTCATTTATTTATTTATACAAGCACTGGGTATAGTCAGAAGCGCAGGAGGGTGAGAGAATTCACCAGAGCCAGAGCGGGGAGGAGAGCAGGCAGAAGGACCCAGGTACACTGCTGAGGGGAGCAGCGGGCGGCAGGAGAGGTCTGCGCACCATATGGGACCCTCCTCTGGTGGCCGGGGAGCAGCCGGGGATTGAACCGGCGCTGCAGAGGCTGCGGGCAGCTTTGCAACCCAGCGCTCAACCACTGCGCCACCAGGGAGGCCCTCAAGTGATTTTTGACCAAGGAGCCAAGCCCATTCAATGGGGAAAAGACAGTCCTTTCAACAAATGGTGTTGGTAAAACTGGATATAAACATGCAAAAGAACAAACCAGACTCTTCATGCTGTACACAAAAAATAACTCAGCATGGATCAAAGATCTAAATGTAAGAGCTGACTATAAAGCTCTGAAAATAAAATGAGGCAAAGCTTTATGACATTGGATTTAAAATTTTTTAGATATTACACTAACAGTAAATGCAATGCAAGGAAAAAAGGAAACAAAAGGGAAATAAGATAGGTTGGGCTTCATCAAAATTAAAAATTCTTGCATCAAAGGACACTATCAACAAAATAAAAAGGCAATGCACAGAATGGGAGAAAATATTTTCAGATCAAATATCTGTTAAGTGATTAACAGTCTCTATTTAATTTCTGTTCTTTTGTACAACATACATGCAACATGATTTACCTTTGTGTCTTTTTGCCACCGAACCGAACCTCTTCTCTTAAAAGAGAAAAATGTGCCTCATGACTTGTTAATCCAAGCATAATCTGTTGAAAAATGACTAAGAAATATTTCTGTTCTCTCATTTTGTATATTACCAGGCTTGTAAAAGCAATGAAATAAAAACATTTCCATACAGAGAAGGGACAATAATTTATTAACATACTAAATATACAAATAGTAAAATATGACCCATTTGTAGATTATGAAAAGGGTAAAGTGGGTATTCTTTTCTAAGAAAAGTAATGTTGACCTCAGACTCACATGACCTTTATAGCCACCTCTGCCTTAAAATATCTGAATATTCACACCTTTTCACTTGCCATAGGGGAATGGGTAAGAAATAAAATGCAGCAGTTTTCCCATTACAAAAGAATGTAGGACTCCTTGGAGGCCAGGATACCTCTAATACATGAAAATAAAGAAAAAAAAAAAAAAACTAGAAAAGGACATTTTCAGTTAATTTTCTCACATATTTTTGTAATATCCAAAGTCTACTAATATCAACCAACCAACTGCAACATCTATTGTTTATTTCCACCCTGATTCCAGCAAAACAAAATGAAATATTTATGAAGCAATCAGGGAAATAAGAATACAAAATAGATGCTCACATATTAAACAGAGATTGTTAATTTTTGTTTTATGTGGAATAATGGCATTGTGAGGTTTTATTTTTTAAATAACGCATGTCCTTGAAAAAAACATTTTGAAATATTTAACAATTAAATGACACAATGTTTGGTATTTGCTTCAATAAATCAGGGGAGTAGGAGGAAGGACAAAAATGGTTAAGGATAGGAGTTGCAAATTGTTTAAAGTGAAAGGAGGACACAAGGAAGTTCATTATATACTATCTCTTCTACTTTTGTTTGAAAATTTACATAATAAAAATGTTAAAAAAATCAAGTACTGTTACTTGGGTCATGGGGTCATAAGACCAGGTGTTATTAAAAGTCATGTATTACATGTATTAAGCAAGAGGGCATACCCATACTTGATTCCAGGAGAGTGTTCATATCAACAAGGTCAGTTAGGTGTGAACATAAATTATTGCAAACTATGGCAAAAGAGCTCATTTCCAGTTGTTTTAAAAATACAGTAATGGTAATGATACAAGTAGTAATCATTATTATGTTTGCTGAAATTTGTTTCCACAGCCAGAAAGTGCTTTATATAAGATTAAGTCTTGCAGATATTTAACTACTATGGCAGAAGCAGAATAACAATAACAAACACATTATACATACCAAGTCAGCATCTAACCCATAAAGACAATGTCGGGTGTTTGGATCATGATCTGGCTTTGCTTTCTCAGATCTGATAAATTCCATGATTTTATGCTCTCCTTCTCCAGGAGTCTAAATATAATGTATTTTTAAAAAAATAAAAAAGAGTGGTAATATGCTTTACTTCAGAATATTAAAAATTTTTAAATCCTCAAAATAAGAAAAAAGTAATAACCTCATGGCCTGAGAAGTAGATGGTAACTCCTTGCCATGACTTGTCTGTAGAAATTTTCATATTTACAAAATACTTCAGATGTTCATGTAATCTGGCCATGAATTCAGTCCCTATAAACAAAATGTTTAATTTGTGAGAAACAGAAAACTGTGAGTTCCCAGTCTAACATGATACTAGATCTGGGTATCCATAAATGGCCTCTCTAAAGAAGGTCAAAAGTTCTGCTTTTCTTGAAAAACAAGTAATGTCATACCTTTCCCTAACAAATATCACAACTGTTTCTAATTTTACTAATCATCCTAAAATGAAGTTAAGTGAGATAAGGAAAGTCAAGGAATGTAAATACTAAAGGACTATGCTCCAAATATTTTCTCAAGAGGGCAGAATTTCAACACTAATACAAACCTCGATCTTCTGTTGCCTTAGATTCTGAGGACTTTTTTAAGGCATGCAGCTTCAATTAGATTGGTAATAACAACAGCAGTAACAACCACTATTATTACTACTGTTTACCTGGAAATTTTATTGTTAATTTGGAAACTGAGTCTACAAAGATTTTGGTTTAGGAAAAGTCCAGATGGACAAGAGTGTAAGGCAATACAATATTAAACCACAAACAGGATGAAGCTGGTTAAAAAAATCAAACACTGTATTATTAAGGCACCTAATGAAAGAAAATTATCATAGCAAAGAATTCATGAGGAAGCAATATTTTAAGAAATTTTTCAAAGTAAAGAACTATAATGATGCTAGACAGAGCTCTAAAAAGTATAGGAGATTTTTTAGATATAAAATTAAACATAATACTAATGACTTCACTTCTTGTTAAAGTCACAGAAAATTTAACTGCTTTTGAGAAGCAGAACAGTAAGTGTTCTGGATAGGAAAATGGGTTTCCTATCCTTAACACAAGTTAGTTACATGAACCTGTATGCACCACAATCTTGCTGAATCAATTTTCATACAAATAAATGGTGGGAGGACAGATCCTTCTATGTCTGGAATTCTGTGCATCTGATAGCTGTTCTTATCAACATCTATAAATCTAGCAAACTATCACATGAGAAGACATAATTGGAAAAATATAGCAAATAGAGTTCTAAGGACTACATAAATAAAGGCTAAAAAAGAAAAATATTTTTGAAAAAATTTTACATTTAAAATCTCAGAATTTTTCTTGAGATGAACTTACCTGGTGTAATACAGTTGGAATCAAATCTGGCCTCCGTAGGAAGAGTTTCTCCTTTTTCTATTGCCTTTTTAATTTTGTCTTCTGCTTCTTTTGCTGACCTTAAAGGTTAAGGGGGGAAAATTGCTTGAAATTTCTTGAAAAGGATAAGGGGGAATAAGCAAATTGTTGCTTAGATGTGTTTATAACTAAAATTCTAATTCACCGTTTTAAAAATTCAAAACAATAAAGTTTTAAAACAATTATAATTGATAAAGATGAATCGCAGAAACTGCTCTTAAAGAATTGAGTTTTTTCAGATCAATACTACAAAAGTACAATGTTCTAATAGTATAAAAATGACACAGTGTTACAAATATTATAAAGTATTTTCTATAAAGTACACAGAAAATTGATTTTGCTAACAGTTCAATTTATAGTTTTAAACTTCATTATATATGCTAGAGTTAATGAAATCAAACAAGAATTGCATTATTAAAGTGAATTCTAAAATATTATGTAAACTATAACCATAAAATTGTAACACATATTGTTGTAGTTCTTTCACTATTATTCAAAAAATGAAACGAAAATGCAATAACATAAAGAAATCATTTGCCAATATCACCTCCTTTTTGAGGCCATTGAATTTACTAGCAAGAACATGAGTTCTAGATTCAGATGTACCAAAGTTTGAATTCAGGCACCCCAATTCCTGTTCAGTTTCTCCTTAACCCATTTGTACTATATTAGTATGCCATGTCATATAAATTAGGATGCTCAGCTTTAAATACATGTCCTATATCCTTGCTACAGTTTTATCTGTTGTGCTTTGTGGAATAGTATTTCTGTGATATTTAACCTCTTTCTAATCCACTTCTTCAATATAACATAAACTCTGAAGATGCCAACTCATTTGTGTCTCTTTAATGGGTTCCCTTCTTCCCTCTTTCTCCTTTTCCTACTTTGAACAAATGATTATTCAATATCACTATGTGACAAGTTCTTGGGCTGTAATCAAAGAGAAATTATTTCTGTTCATATAGAGTATACATTCTAGTAGGGAGACAGGAAATTAAATAGCCATAATATTTGACATGGCTGCACTATAGAGAATGTGTGGGACAGGGACAAGATAACACTATTCAAGTAATCTTGATGAAAGTTAATGGTGGGAGAGATGGAGATAACAGCAGTGAAGATATAAACAAGTTGGTAGATATGACAAATTTAAAAGACCAGATAAATAGAACTTGCATATCTAGAGGAAGAGAGGAAAATCCAAGATGTTACTCTTGGACTTGGTTGAACAGCTTGTTTGCATGGTGCTGTCATTCAGTGAAACAGGAAACATGCAAGACAATTGTAGGAGAAGATGAATTCAATTCTGCATATGTTCAGTCTGAAATTTATTTGTGCTATCCAAAAAGACACAAGAATTGGGCATTTTCATACATAGGAGAGAGATATCAACCATAAACAACTGCATAAACATGTACTGAGTCATCAGTACAGACAGGAATTAAAATCACTGGGTAAGATTATGAAGGACCCAGGATGAACACTAAGAAATACCAATATTTAAGAAAAACACTGAATGCCAGAGCAGCCAGAGGCCTTCTGACCTACTGTGAGACCCCCACCAACTCCCACCCAGACTGATAAGACCCTGGACCTGCACCGGGCGGGGTGCCAATGCCACCAGAGGCCTCATGACCTCCTGTAAGACCCCATCAGCACCTGCCCTGATTACTGATACCCTGGATCCAGGCTGGGGGAGGTGCCAAAGTGGCCAGAGAATTTGTCCATTTCTTATAGGTTATTGAATTTATTAGCATATGGGTGTCCATAGTAATCAGAGTTGCCAGCATCAATATTGTCAAAATGGCCATCCTACCCAAAGCAATACACAGGTTCAATGCAATCCTAATAAAAACATCAATGGCATTTTTCAAAGAACTAGAAAAAACACTTCTGAAATTCATATGGAATCATAAAAGACCCCAATTAACAAAGGCAAAAAAAGAAAAAGAATGGAGATATTACCCTTCTAACCTTCAAATTATAATACCATAATAATTAAAACAGTCTGGTACTGGAACAAAAACAAGACAACATACCAGTGGAACAAATTGCGAGCCCAGAAATGAATCCCCACCTATATGGACAGATAATCTATGACAAAGGAGTCAAGCACATACACTGGAACAAGGATAACCTCTTCAGTAAATATTGGTGGGAAAATGGAACAGCTGCATGCAAAAGAATGAAACTAGACGACTCTCTCACACCTTAAGTACAAATGAATTCAAAATGTATAAAAACTTGGATACTAGACCTGAAATCACAAAATACATAGAAGAAAACATAGGCAAAACACTTACAACATAAGCTTTGGCAATGTCTTTAGGGATTGTCCCCATCAGCAAGGAAAACAAAAGAGAACATAAACCACTGAGACTACATCAAACTGAAAAACTTGTGCATAGTGAAAGAAACAATAACTAAAATGAAAAGACATCCTACTGAATGGGAGAAAATATTTTCACACCATAGTTTGACAAGGGACTGATATCTAAGATATACAAAGAACCCATAAAATTTTCTGAAGACAAACCAAATAACCTAATAAAAAAATGGGCAAAAGTAAACACACTTGTCCAAAGAAGACATACAGACTGCAAAACAGGCACATGATTAAATGTATTAGGGAAATGCAAATTAAGACCACAATGAGATATCATCTCACACTTGTGAGAATGGCCCATATTGAAAAGACCAGAAATAACAAATGCTAGTGAGGATATAGAGAAAAGGGAGCTTTCCTACACTGCTGGTGGGAATGCAGAGTGGTCCAACCCTTTTGGAAAGCAGCAAGGAGGTGACTTAAAACATTAAAAGTGGATCTGCCATTGACACAGTAAATCCATTCCTAGGCACCTACCCCCAAAATTCAAAAACACTAATTCAAAAGAAAACTTGTGTACTTCCAGGTTTATTGCAGTGTTATTTACTATAGCTAACTTACAGAAACAACCTAAGTGCCTCAAAACAGATGAGTGGATCAAGAAGATCTAGTATACATACACAATGGAATATTTCTTCATGATCAAAAAAGATAATCTCTTGCCATCTGTGGCTATACAGATGGAGCTGGAAGAGAGAACACTAAGTGAAATAGGTCAAAAGGAGAAAGATACATACCAGATGGTATCACTAATATGTGGAATATAGAGAAACTAAACTAGCGGTCAGAAAAAGACAAGCTTAAAAACTAACCCTTGAAAGCTGCCTACAGAACTGAAACACCCAGAGAAGACAGGGGAAAGAGGCAGGGTAAGAACTAAAAGGAAAAGGGCTTCCCTGGTGGCACAAGGGGTTAAACATCAGCTGCTGCAGCATGAGTTTGATCCCCAGCCAAGGAAGTGACCCACATGGCGCAGCAGACCTCTCCTGTCTTGCCCATTGCTCCCCTCAGCAGTGTGTTTCAGTAGCTCTGACTGTTCTGCTTCCCAACCTGTCTCTGGTGAATTCTCTCACCCTCACCCCCTGCACCTCTGGCCTGTACCCCAGTTCTTGTATGCATAAATAAATCTTTTTTAAAAAGAACTAAAAGGAAAAGAAGCAGAATGTAGTATGGTGGTAGACTTTGGGTTATTTGGTGGTGGGAGCACTATGGTGGCAATACCTGATGGGGGTATCCAAATACTATCTCAATTAAAAACAAATTAAAAAATTAATAATTTTTTAAAAGGAAAACAGTATGGATGTATCTCAGAACATTAAAAATTAATCCACCATAAGATTTAGTAATTTCACTACTAGGTGTCTATCCAAAGAATACAAAACCACTAATTTAAAAGGGATAGATGTACTCCTGTGTTCACTGTAGCACTATTTATAATAGCCAAGCTCTGGAAACAACTTACATGCTGAAAGACATGAGTGGATTAAGTAGTAGGCACATAAATAGATTAAGTAGATTAAGTGTGGTATATACACACAATAGAATATGACTCGGCTGAAGAAAAAAAAAAAACCTGTGAGTTGCCAGTTGCAATAGCATTGATGGAACTGGAGGGAATTGTGCTAACCAAAATAAGTCAAATGAGCGATGATTTCTCTCATAAGGAATATAGAGAAACAAACCAAAGGAACAGACAAAACCAAATCAAAACAAACCTTAGAAATCTGACTGCATAACTGAGGCTACCAGAAGGGGAGAGTGGGAGAGTGGGGGGGAAAAAGGTCAGAAGGGGCCCAATGGACTATAGTAGAGGTTTACAGGAGCTTGGTGGCAGGCATGCTGTGTTAACACACAAAAAAGGTGTGATCCTAATCCCTACATTACATGGAGTCATGTATATCATTGTTACCACAAAAAACAAACACACAAACAACCTAATTAAAGAAAAAAAAACAGTAACACCAAGGGAGAGAAAAGACACTAAGAAAGTGCAGCCAGAGAGAGTACGTAGCTACAATTCATATTAAGTAAAGGAAGTTCAAGAAAAACAATAGTCAACATTGTTAAATTCCAAAGATCAGTGAGGTAATAAGCAATTATTCTTTAGAGTTAGTCAAAAAGAGTCTATTTGTAATTTTGTACAGAAGTTTCAGTGGCATCCTGGGAGGAAAGATGGATGGCTACAGATTTAGACACCAGAAAGGTATGGAAGGATTATAAATACAGATTTTGAATGGAGAAAACAATTGCTGAGAATGAGCAATGCTGGTTGGGGGATTCAATATTTACAATACTTAGAAAATGTTTGTGGCTATTATGGTGGGTTGATCTTCAGCATTTCAACATCCATCTCATTTTCTTTCTAGTTTATCTTCTAATGATGAAAAAGTTAGAAAGGCAAAAAAAGAAAAAAAAAAATTAAACTCTCAGACATCCCAGCAGCTAGGTTTCTGGATACTTAAACTCTGTCAATTAGATTCCACCACAGAAAGTGTGAAATGTGGAAGGATGGTAAAGTCTGCATGACAGTTGAGACAATGGGATCATAGAATGCGTGTGTTTTATTAACAGTATAAGAGAGATAAATACTCCAGGTTTGCAGGTGCTGAGAAGCAAGGTACAGTGTATCCAGTACATATGTAGCAGATGCATTAGACTCTGGAGCTAACAGAGAGACAGTAGTGGCTTATTCTTAGAGCCTATGATTCTAGTGGTGCTTCTTAATCCCTGGAACACAGTTAAAGTAGGAAGTTCCCAGTGCCTATGGTTTTGGTGGGGTCCTCTGATCAGCTTATCTTTCTATATGTGGTAGTATGTAATTGCAGTAGTGCCTCTTGTAGGTCTTTTTTATGGTATTTTACTGGAAGCCATTTTTTTTTGTTTGTTGTTTTTTTTTAAAGATTCATTTATTCATGCATACAAGAACTGGGGTACAAGCCAGAGGTGTGGGGATGGTGGTGAGAGGATTCACCAGAAACAGAATGGGGAACAGAACAGGCAGACTGACTAAAATACACTGCTGAGGGGAGCAGTGGGCAAGACAGGAAAGGTCTATTTTGTCATGTGGGTTAGCTCCCTGGCCAGGGATTGAACTCGTGCTGTAGAGGCTGCGGATAGCTTCATAGTACTGTGCTTAAGCCCTTGCACCACCAGGGAGGCCCTGGAAGTCATTTTTGAAGGCTCACCTAGATTTCTATTCTTTTGTTCTACATAATGATTTTTATAAGCACCTACACTTCTCTATATTACACCCTTTTCTGCTGAAAATATCTAGGTTTTTATCACCTGCAACTAATTTCTAACTGACACCTTGGGTTTACACAACCCTTTCTCAATACTACACTTTCTATTCCAGTAGTTCCCAGAAACTACTTTAAAAAAGATCAGGGGAATCTGGTAAAAATAGTTTCCAGGGGGCCTCCCCGGTGGCGCAGCGGTTGAGTGCTGGGTTGCGAAGCTGCCTGCGGCCTCTGCGGTGCCGGTTCGATCCCCGGCTGCTCCCCGGCCACCAGAGGAGGGTCCCACATGGCGCGCAGACCTCTCCTGCTGCCCGCTGCTCCCCTCAGCAGTGTACTTCGGTCCTTCTGCCTGCTCTGCTCCCCGCTCTGGCTCTGGTGAATTCTCTCACCCTCCCGCGCTTCTGACTGTACCCAGTGCATGTACAAACAAAAACAAAAACAAACAAGCGAATAAATAAATAAAACATGCCTCTATTTAAAAAAAAAAAACAAAAAAAATAGTTTCCAGGGTCAAATTCTCAGAGATTTGGATTAAGAAAGCTTTGGATTGATACTTGAGAATCTAAATTTCAGTAAGAGATGTATCAAGGATTTCATAGTTGTGCTAATTTTTTCAGTATCTTTTCACTTCTGATATTAAGTCAGTATTTTTTAACATTCTCTTCCCATTTTCACTTCTTACTCCTGAGTACTCTTCCACCTGCCCTGAAGAATTCCACATTTGATTCATAGTCCTTTCCACTTCTTTACCAGCCATAATAATGAAAAAATTCACTATGCTAATGATCTAGTAAACACAAAGGACCCAGGAGTCTTTCCTTTCTTTTTTTTTTTTTTAAAGATTTATTTATTTATGCATACAAGAACTAGGGTATAAGCCAGAGGTGTGGAGGGTGAGAGGATTTACCAGAGACAGAGTGGGGAGTAGAACAGGCAGACTGACTGAAATACACTGCTGAAGGGAGCAGTGGGGGAGACAGGAGAGGTCTGCTGTGTCATGTGCGTATGTCCCAATCCCCTGCACCACCAGGGAGGCCCGTCTTTTCTTTTATTCTAACGACACTCTTAACTTTACTTCTACAATTCATAAATAAGGACACAGCCTGAGTCACTGCTATGTCCAAGAATTTGACTTTAAAATCCTGTCTACAACTTCCTCTCACCCTTTTACTTTTCTTACTATCTAGATTACATAGCAAATGCTGATAATACCTTGAATGTTCTAGTTCAGTTCTCTTCCCATACTCCATCAGTGCCCTTCTAAACCCACTCACCATTTCCCAAGGTCTGAGCAGTCAACAAATGTTGAAATTAAATGTCAATGATGTTCTCATTAGAATAATTTTTCAGTTCACTTAAGGCAAACTACCATAGGAACTTTCCTAGTACTAACGTTTAAAATCACCAACAAGAAGTTTAAAAATTTGTGACACAGAGTAACTTCATACAGGCCAACATATGCTCTGAGAAATGACATTTCATCTCGATTGTTTACTTAACTGATTTTTATGTGACATTTTTATAAGTATGAGATATTTCCATTTCTAGTGAAATGTAAGCAGAAACAAAACATGAACTGAGGATGTATTATGTTAATTACCTTTAAAATGATTTATTTTATTAACTAAACAGCACTGTAAAATAAAACATAAATATTTTACCTAAAACGTCTTCCACGCTGCTGGTTCATTTTTGCTCGAGGAGCCACACCATCAACTGCCATAAAGAACACTTTTCTAGGTTTAATAATGCGAAACAACACCTCCAAGTAGTGAAAAATATCAGTGAAGATTTTATCATCAGAAATTCTGAAGTGAACATCATCATCATTAGGATGGGAGCACTGATGTATAATTCCATTCATATCCAGGTACAAATTATCAAATTCAGGAATCTAAAAAACAAAGAAAAATGTTCAAGATCATTATTATAATCAACAATGGATAACTCAGCAGGCAGGAAGGGCAGCTGATAAAAAAGGGTATAAAGCATTCTTTTAATAATATAAAAACTGAGTAAACAATCACAGTTGAATAAAGAAAGTGAAAGGAAAAGCAGGAGGAACTGATAAGATGGACAGAACCACCTGATTAAATTTATTGTTAGGAAATTACCTACTTAATTAAAATAAGATAAAACAGGAAAACATTACAGTACTTGGTTTCCATCTTTCCTATTATTTGACATTAACGTCTCAAAACTTTAATATCCTCTTTAAATGGGTAACATAATGTCCATTTATATAAAAAAATGTTTTACAGACATTAAAAGGTTTTAAAGATTAAAGCCATTGTATATTTAGTTTCACTGAAACAGTGACAATGATTGGTTATATTAATTTAAAAAGTTTACATTATGCCAAGAAATTTAGGAAATTATGAAACTGACTTATTTTTGATATGTGGATCAAATAGTGTCTAAACTGTGGCTAAGAGGGATCTACTGTTATCAAAAGACCTTCACGGCTCTGGTTCTCATATATTTTTCCTTGCGAGCAAGGAGCAACGAAGGGAAACACAACTGCAACAACGTGTACCAACAAGGAACTGAAATGGGAATAAAAAGTTACAATATCTGTGTAATTTTAGTGTAATTTTACACTCATTCAAATTTGTACTTTAATTCACTTTCAGTGTAATTTTCTGTAACTTTAGAGTAATCAGATTACATGCTAAAATATTTTGAATTTTCGGGCCTCCCAGGTGGCGCAGCGGTTGAGCGCTGGGTTGCGAAGCTGCCCGCGGCCTCTGAGGCGCCGGTTCGATCCCCGGCTGCTCCCCGGCCACCGAAGGAGGGTCCCACATGGCGCGCAGACCTCTCCTGCTGCCCGCTGCTCCCCTCAGCAGTGTACTTCGGTCCTTCTGCCTGCCCTGCTCTGGCTCTGGTGAATTCTCTCACCCTCCCGGCTTCTGACTGTACCCAGTGCATGTATAAACCAAACAACCAAACAAACAAACAAATAGATAAATAAATAAGACATGCCTCTAGAAAATTAAAAAAAATAATAAAAAAAAATAAAATATTTTGAATTTTCAAACATAAAAACATAATGGGCTTTCCTTATATAAACTTATAAAAATTATCTCTGAAACAATTATTCAAGCTTTATAATATGTACACATAACAACACATTTCCTATTATTGAGAAAAATGACATTAAAAATTATCAAAGACAGTCTGATTGCACCAAGTAGTTTAGAAGTAGTTCAAGGCTAGAACAAGATTTAGTATACAAGAGATATTTCAAATGTGAAAGAAAGGAGCCCATAAAATAAATTTTTATCTCACCTTATAGAAATATTAAGTCCAGATGGATTAGAAATTTTAATGAGCAAAGTTAAACTTTCCATACAAATATTCTGGTAATCTTAAGAGTAGGGAAAGTCAGATCTCATAGCCAAACAAATGGCTGACTTGACTAAAAAAATTTTTTTTAATTTATAAGGATGGGGAAAAGTATCATAAATGAATTCACTGAAATTGACAACATGCAAATGAGGACAAGGTCAACACTCATAAACCTCTCCTGTCTTGCCCGCTGCTCCCCTCAACAGTGTATTTCACTAGATGCCCCTGTTCTGTTCCCCACTCTGTTTCTGGTGAATCCTCTCACTGCCCCCCACCCCTGCACCGCTGGCCTGTACCCTTGTTCTTGTATGTATAAATAATCTTTTTTTAAAAATTCTCAAATGTAAGTAAAGAGCAACTTTTCATTTTTTTATTCATTTATTTTTTAATTTTTTTTATTATTTTTTAAAATAAATTTTATTTTTATATTCCCCATACAATTGCAACCCCCTTATTTTGACCCCAATCCCTCCCCTCCCCACCACCCTACCCCCCATATAGTGTCTCTGATTCATAGTTGTTTGTTAATTTTGATTTTCACTTTCTTATAGTTATTCATTTTCCTGGTCCCTTATTTAAGTTTTCTAGATTCCTGCTATGAGTGAGACCATCCGGTATTTTTCTTTTTCTTTCTGGCTTATTTCGCTGAGCATGATCCCTTCCAGCGCCATCCATGTTGCGGCAAAGTGCATGTGTTTATCTTTTTTGATTGCTGAGTAATATTCCATGGTATATATGTACCACATCTTCTTGATCCAGTCATCTATTTTTAGGCATTTGGGTTGTTTCCAAAGCTTAGCTATTGTAAATAGTGCTGCTATAAACATAGGGGTGCAGGTGCTCTTTGGAATTGATGTTTCTGTGTCCTTTGGGTAAATACCTAGGAATGGAATTGCTGGATCATATGGAAGCTCTATGTTTAGTAGGTCCAGAAATCTCCACACAGCTCTCCATAGTGTTGGACCAGTTTGCAGGAGAGTTGGACAGCGCAGCAGAGTTCCTTTTTCTCCACAACCTCGCCAACATTTGTTGTTGCTAGTTTTTTTAATATGTGCCATTCTCACTGGTGTGAGATGGTATCTCTTGGTAGTTTTGATTTGCACTTCCCTGATTACAAGTGATGCTGAACATTTTTCATATGCCTGTTGGCCATTTGCATTTCCTCTTCAGAGAAGTTTCTTTTTAGCTCTTCTGCCCATTTTTTGACAGGATTATTTTCTTTGTTGTTGTTGAGTCTCATCAGCTCTTTGCAGATTTTTGTGATTAGTCCTTTATCATTAGTGTTGAGTGCAAAAATGTTCTCCCAGTTGGTGGGGTTTCTCTTTGTTTTGGTTATTGTCTCTTTTGCTGTGCAGAAGCTCTTTAATTTGATGTAGTCCCAGCTGTTTATCTTTGCCTTCACTATCACTGCTTTGGGTGATGTGTCTGTAAAGATGTCTTTGATGTGCAAATCACGTAGTGTTTCGCCTATATTTCCTTCTATATATTTTATGGTTTCAGGTCTTATGTCTAGTTCTTTAATCCCTTTTGAGTTGATTTTTGTGTATGGTGTGAGGCAGTGGTCAAGCTTCATTCTTTTGCATGTAGCGACCCAGTTTTCCCAGCACCATTTATAGAACAAACTTTCTTTGTTCCAATGCATATTCTTAAGAGCAACTTTTAAAAGCATGGGTAAAGCAAAATTAAAAAAATGCCACATGCACACAAAAATCTAATAAACATTAAAAGATATTCAATATTACAAAATTAAAACAATTCATAATTTTTCTCATCATGTTAGCAAGGAGTAGAAAAAGACTGATGTGTTACCCAGTATTGGCAAGATCTAGGGGAAATGTGTATTTCATGCTACTAAAGGCAATAATAGACTTTATATTAAACATTTATTAGGTGCAAAGTGTTTATGTTGATTCTCTTAATTTTGATGATTTTAAAAGAGAAATATTTAATTTCCCATTTTATAAGAGAAAATCACAAAGCTAGAGAAAAGAAATGGTTTACACCGTCTGTCGAGGACTGGGATATACATTGGTGTAACTAACATGAAAATATATATCAAAATTTGAAAAGTGTATATCTTTGATCTAGCATTTCTTATTTTTTTTTTAAGATTTATTTTATTTATACAAGAGCTGGGGTACAGACCAGATGTGCGGGAGGGTGAGAGGATTCACCAGAGACAGACAGGGCGGGGAACAGAACAGGCAGATTTACTGAAATAAACTGCTGAGGGGAGCAGGTCTGCTGTGCCAGGTCTGCTGTGCCATGTGGGGTAGCTCCCTGGCCAGGGATTGAATTCATGTGGCAGCGGCTGGTAATTGTTTGGTAGCACTGAGACTTTAACTCCAGTGCCACCAGGTAGGTCCTGACCTAGGATTTCTACTATTGGAACTCTGTCCTAGGAAACAATCAGAAATGTATGCAAAGACCTAAGTACAAGAATAGTCACGGGAGACATGACAAAAAATGTAAACAACTTAAATACCTAATAAGAGAAAGCTGATGTTGGTACAACCATACAATGGAATGTTACACAACAATTGTAAAACATTATACAGATTCATATTTGACATGTGATAATATTTATAATATATATGGTAAAGTGACAAAAGTAAGTTATAAAACATCAGGTATATTATTATCTCATTTATTGAAAGTATCTACATGTATAGCTGCATAAAAAAGGCAGTATATAGAAACAAGTTGTTACTAGTGGTTAACCCTACATGAGGGAATTTCAACTACTTTTTACTTTTCTTCAGATTCTGTAACAGTTTTCACATCTTTCTGTAGTTATTGAATTTTTATATAATGAGCACATATCACTTGCATAATCTGAAAAAACATATAATTTTCCTTTTAAAAAGAAATTTTAAATTTTGTTCTTAGGCTTCAGATTAGTAAGAAAGATAAAATGATTAAGTGATCATTAGTCAATGTGGTGAACAAAATGAAAACACACAGCGGAATCTTGCTTCTTTACCAAAAAGATAATAATGAGTTAAAACACCTCTAATGTAGAAATTGCACTGTTATCTTATACTTTTCCCTCTTCCTCAAACCCTTAACTAGCCACACAGGTGTTTTTAATTTAACATGCAAAATTTCTAGAAATTTACCCTCCTATCCATTCCCACAATCTCATCTTTTTCTCTGAGATTTCTCACCTAGTTCAAGCCTTTAGTTTCCCAACTGGACTCCTTATTTCCACTTTTCTCTTCTCAAAACTCAAACCATTTTTCTAAAACATACCCTGATCATATTGCTTTCTTAAACTCATGATACACCAAATCCTTCATGCCATAAAAGGTTCAATATGATTTAGCTATTCTCCTTCCCACAATTCCTATTTTTTCCTCTTTTCACATATACTGAAAGCTAATTAAGTTATGTGGAAAGCCCCAAATGTGCTAGGGGTAGTCTCAAACTCCTGTGACTTTACAAATGCTGTTCCTACTTCCTGAAATATTTTTCTTTCATTTTTGCACTTCCTCCCTCTGACTTGGTAGATTTTGACCGAACTTTCAAGACCTAGTTAAGTATCTT